GACAGTGGTTAACATTTAATCCACAGGTAATCAAAGAGCGGGGACATACCGTACCAACCGCTCCGTATGCAGGCTTTGAAAATAGGCTATATAAATCGTTGGGAGTGACAGAGCTAGGAAAGTTAATGTACACTCCTTGGTTGTCCGATCTCCTGGGATGGAACACAGGTATTTACCCCTTGTGTTCGAGCGTACAGTCCTCCCTCCGTACAAGCGTGGACGGCACCGCCAACCCACTGCCATCCCTCAATCGATCCAACCGACCTCAGTCGAAGGACAACAGAGAGCGGTGTGCGGACGTAACCTATACGGAGGGAATGCTGTATTCGCCTAGGTTATAGCGCCCTTGTTCGCTACCATTTTCTTCTAGCGGTTGGGACCTGAGCACTAACTCTTGTCCTAGCCCTATATGGCATATGGTTATAGCGCCATTACTCGCTTTCTGAAAAGAGAAGAAGGGAAGGGAAGGAGAGGAAAAGGACTTGGGAAAAGGAAATGCGGAATTCCTTTCCTCATTAGTATTTGTATCGTCAACTTTTATGAAAACTATATAAATCATTTTTCCTTGGTCAGAGTTATTATTACGACATTTGAATAAGATTGTCTTATCATTTGTTATTCAAAATTTAATGTTATAATGATCAACATAGCTTTGGATTATCCAATATAAATCGGTAACACTGTCCTGCAACCGTTGTTTTTTTAATCCGAAAACTAAAAGTTACGAAAAAGCACTGATGTCTTCATTAAGTTCCACTTTCACGCGACGTTCAATGGTTAAACAAGTAAACAAGTTATTAAAATGAAATCAGTCAATAATGTATCTTGAACCGGATCAAGCGTGCGCCCTATTTTTCTAAACATTCCGACGCGTTCCGCCCAATATCTATCAATTACGTTTTTCTACAATAGTAGCCTGGGATAAATCCTAATTCGACCGACACGTGTTTGTTGAAAAATTATATTCTGCCTAATATCAGTAGTCAGTAGTCATTAGGAAACCTGTTACTATATTACCACATATGTATCCTTCTCTCATGAATTTGTTTTACGAACATGATCTAACACAACCTTTTTCTATGACAAAACTATATTCTGATAAAATTGGATCATTGCCTAGACCAACTATTGAAACTAAAGAACAAAACAATTGGCCATAAAATCTACCTGTAACCATTTTTTTATGACTGCAAAAAGTTTGAACTCTGGAGTTCGAAGGTGATAGCTTTACCGTATACCCATTAGCCCATTTCAAGATCGCATGCTTCCGAAGATTTTGCTTACAATAAGCCCGGCTCCGGTACAGTATCGATGCTGATAATGTACTGAAACTTTCTATAAAACAGTAGCGCAAAATTTGATTGACGCGTATTTAATGATTTAAAAAAAATATTTACGATAGAATTACCACAAAAATTAAGGAACGAGCTCACCAAATTAGTATCCAGAAAAGAACGGCACGGCTTAACAGGGTTTAACCTCGTTTAACCAATGGGAATCTTTTCTTTCCATGCTGATTTCACGGTCTAAATCACTAACACTGGCACAACACGGTTACTAAATACGTAAAAACTGAACTGGACTATACATTTGGAAATAATTCAAACGAAAATTCTTCCGGATGGCGTAGCGCCACCAGCCAAAACGCTGACAGAAGATTATCGCAAAAAATCCCGACAATAGAAAACAAACACGTTTAATCGCTGCCAAGGCACACTTCGATTTCCGGCCATAAAAAGAAAAACTATTCTTCCAAAAACTTTCTATTTTCAAAAATGGCAAATCATCTTCAGATAAAATTTGGAAAACCGCGACGAAAACATAATATACGAGCAATTTCAGACTGAGTGAATCCAATCTTTACTTTACTTAAATTCGGGAATTTTTCCCTGGAAATCCTGGAGAAACTTGCGAAAACATGAGGCAAATTTACTCATCGCTGAATTCCTGCACTTTATTTCTTATTTCTGAGATAACTAAACTCAAATTTGGGTCGATCTCATTCGCCGTGATATCACCTTGAAAGATATCGGCGCCGGTGGTTAGCGTGATTACCTCTCACCCCAGCAGGCCTGGGTCCAATCTCAGTCGGTGCCACCGGCATGTTCTAAGGCATAACATCTCTGATCACGCCTTCCTTCGGGAAGTAAAGCCGTTGGTCCCCGGTTGAGTTGATGGGTCGATTGGTAGGGCCCAGGTGTGGGAGCTGCCTCCCTGGCGTCGGTAACATTGGAGCTCAGTACGGAAAACAAATCCCGCGTCACTTTTCAATAGGTCCTATCGACATTGATCGATTCTCTTCATCGACACTCTCTTTCGTAAATAACTCGGCTTCACAAATGTTTCCTGCCGTCTTCGTCGAATTAGAAGCTTGATTGTTGCTTCTTCCATCGAAAATATCCGGCCGTGGCGATTCAAAGTTGATCAAGGTTGATCAAAATAATTTTTACCGCTGCTTCCAGTTTGATTACATGAGCATTTTGTGTGATCGTTGGTTCTGAATATGGACAAACAGGCAGATGAATTCTATTCCTACTCTTTACTGTAATAAGCTTGGTCGCTCTGAAAAGAGCCGTTTTGTTGCCAAAGTTGGTGATGATTTAACCTCCGAAACCAAACAGAGTGCGTCTCTGTCACTTCAAAACGTAGATGGCATCCATGGCCGCTTACGCTTTCAGGAACACCTTCAGCACACCTCGCAAATCACCGGAGATACGTCAGACACCGCCACGGCGAGCCAGACGACGGATGGTGGTTATCTCGAAGAATTTACGTTTGGTTCTGGATATGGCGATGAGTGTGCAAAATATTACGCAATTCCATCCTCCCTATTCGCACGGATAAGCAGCATATGCATGTAGGTAATTGGTGGATTTGTTAGTTAATTCGACGCTTTTGGACAATGCTGGACATTTACCAGTTTTTCAATAGTTTCGTGTTAGAAATCAACATTCGGAAGCATTGTTATCGATGCGTAGCCATATTTCTGATCGATTGGTGATAAAATTATTGAAATTGGACCAGGGGCAGCTGTATTATTAACGTTCAAAATCTTTCTTAATTTGTTACATGTTTCACTTTCGGTTTTCACAAAGTGTACCCCCATATAGAAATCAAAGACGTAGTCCTCCGTAAAAAAAAAAAGATTTTTTCCTTTGATTTGTTTTCCGTAGGTCTTATTTTCCGCCGACTACACCACTGACGCTGCTGAAAAAAAAAAGATTGTTCAGAGTATTTCAGCTTTATCTAGTGGCCACATTTCGCATTTTGAAAAAAAAAAGAGTTTCATACAAAGAAAATGTTTTGTTTCGAGCTACGCAATGAACCATCCAGGTTTTATATTTTAACTTGAACAGATTTTCCTGAAAATGACCTGGCAATGCAGCACACAATATTCAATTTCATGCATTGGTTGGCATAGATCTCAATTAATAACTGTAGAAGTGCATCTAAAACACTCAGTAGAGAGCCGGTAAAACGATTGCAACAGAAGCGTAAAATGCCTGGAAGAAGAAAACGTTGTTCAGTTCGTTTCTATCAACACTATTTTAATAATGCCTCTTTAAACTATAAAATATTAAATAATAAAATAGATACTTCATAACATCAGTGCGGCCTACTTTGATCTTCATTTGAAAAAATGGACCAGACAAGTTACACTTCCAGTCAGACAGACAGTTTCACTTTCAGTCAGTTAACCTTTCCTTAACATTTTTATTTATTTCTCAAAGTATTGGTATAATGTACGTTTTGAAAAATAAACCAGTACCTTAAAAATAGAACTAGAAAGCGAACCAGCACAAAACAGATAAGACAAGCAAAACAAATCAATCACTTGAACTTCGCTCTTCGAGAGCCAAGCGAAGTGCATTCACCAACTGCATCAAGTGCAATGCAAATTTTTCCGAGTAACGCTTATTCCATCCCGTTGGCCGTAATCGGGTGTAACGTGCGAAAATAGAGAAACCAAAGCATGGCAAAACAAACCGCCAAAGATTGAGAAAAGGGAATGGCACGCACTCGCCGTCGTCGTGACATTCTGCCATAAACAAATCAATAACGGACCAACAGATTACGCTGAACTGACTAGAAGATTTGCATGGGTACTTGTTCTAAAGTCGGTTTATCTGGTGACACCCCATTAGTCAGCGGCGCTTGAGCGATGTCAATGGCACTTCAGTGCGAGGGTATCAACGAGATACAATGATCATGCATTTCAAAGGGGAATTGATTCAGCGACAACACGTAAGTAGACCAGTAGATGAAAATTTAAACGACTAGATCAGCTATTTGAACCCAGATCGTACGTGCTCCCTGGGACGGAGCACCGCTGATAATAACGAAATATTCAACCATTTATCGCGCTACAGTAACCGTTGTCACCTCGGTTCATGTGTAATCATCGTCCCTCTTGACTCAAGTAAACAATTAATAATTCAACGATCGATCGATTGATCGTTCAACAAAAAGAAAGTGTTCGATTCCACCGGCCTTACGCGATCTATGATACGCCGCGGGCACTAAACAAAGGGCTCTTGGATCGATGAGCTGGCTGCGTTCTTTGTTCCAGAACTTCCTGCTGCTGGTCGACTCATCGTCCATGGCTGTCACAAAACGTTGTTCGGTTTCCCATCAGTTGCAGTTATCGCCTTCTTCGATCCACTCGATGAGACTCAAATTCCGTTTCCATTCACGGAGTCAGCGAGTGAGTGAAAGAGGAAGACCTGATAAGAAGTCTTCGTTGAGGGACTCTTCGTATGGCTGCGCAATCGATAAGGACGGAAAGCATAATTTCTTCGTTTGAACCAAGCTGGCCAATACCAACACAGCTATCAAGTGACTTAAGTTTGGAACTGATAAAATATAGACATACAGTGTGCTGTTTGAAGAAGCGTTCGTGGTGTGTATTTCTATATTTTTAATAAATACACATGTTATTCTAAGTGAAAATATTTTTTTTTTCTTTCCTGTTCGGGTTCAAATGCGATAGGAACTTTACTGAGTGTCTTTGGTTTGTAAGTGATTAGCGGTAAAGCCTCGTGCATCAGTAGCTAATCGAACGTTCCTCCGAACGGATCTCCACTGAGTGAGAGCAGCAGAAGCAACCTAGGCTTAGTTGGTCATCTTGAGTTAGTTTCAAAGTGTTCAAAGTAACCTATCATCAGCTGGAAAGTGAGTTGTGCTCGAACGAGTATATTATCGAAGAAAACTCATCCTACACGTTATTCCTTAGTCATGCCTCACGAGTTTGATATCGAAACCGGTCCGGCCTCTCCGGAGCTGCTGGAGATAGCTCGGATGGAACTTCGGGAGACTCCGGAACTTCGCGAAGCATCGATTAAGGAGCTACGCAGTCTGCTGAAGGAAGCCACCGATTTGCACTACAAAGACGACGATGAATTTCTGCTGATTTTCCTGCGTCCTTGCCACTTTTACCCGGAGAGTGCGCTTAAAATGGTAAGTGATTGATTTAGAGCCCATCACCCATCAATCAGATTCCATATGGTAGATATTCAAACCCAAGTACCTACACCCCTGCCGTGCTAATCTTCCTTCAAGGTGATGCCATGCGTTTCAAAGTTATCAGCCCAAACTTATCAAAGCCTACTCTTATCCGCTATTGATAGCAAACAAAAATTAATTGCTACGTGAATTTCTTTTCCACTGGTCAAACGAGACCTTGAGTCATTATCGCAGCAAGCTGCGTACGCTTCGGAAGCTCCAGGTCCTGCGTCTCTATGGACAAAGGAAAAAATAAATCAACGGCCAACCACTTGTGTTTTTGCTGCTGCCTAAATGCAATTCTCTGATAATGATTTAATAACACAATCAGCATGCACACGAAATGCCTTCGTTGTCTCCAAGAGAATTGGTGTTGTTTTTTTTTTGTTTGTTTATTAGCATTATTGGCCGAGACGGACTTTAGCATCAAGCGAGCGTGTCAGCCATTGTGACGTTACCCGTGCGACAGTCAACCCTTCGCGTGCTATTTTGAATCGTAGCACTCGCACTGCTGATTCGTTGTGTTGTCATGGGGAGGCACGGATTTTCCTGCTACTGCAACGTTTGTTTAGGTTTGATGAAGCAGGGAAATGAGCGTCGTTATGTAATATTAATATATTGTATTGCTCTGCTACAGTAATGGTCAAAAATGTAGTTGAGTCGTTACAAAAAGCAAGCGTAGGAAATTGAAAATTTGACTGTCTAAGTAAACATGTTTACAATCCACTAATCATATCTACGTAATTGAATGGGACGAAGTTGATTGCAAATAGACAAAGCAAATTATTTTAAGTCGCAAAGTTTCTTATCTGTTAGTGCGCAGAAATTCAGCACAATCAGATATGTTTTCCCTAAGGCGTTAGAGCCACATAAGAAACGATGTACATATTGAGGTAGACAGCACCAAAGGACAATTTTTCACATTGTACATCATTGCAATTGTAGGGCTAAGGTGGTCAAATGACAGGGTTTCCAAGTTGGCGGTGGCCCGCAGGTGGCAGACACATATGAGAGCCCCCTATATACAATTGTTATATTCATTCTGGCTATACCCCAAGCAACACACATCTATCAAAATAGGTTGCTTCAACTTGATTGTGACTGAAATAAGGTGTATACAAGTAACCTTAACTGTTAAATGACAAGTGTGCTGCTAGGGACGTATAATGCCAACTATACAGATTGTATGACCGATAACGTAAAAATAAGTGTGATTTATGTAAAAGCATAGTAATAAGGGGTAATTTTTGATGAGTTTATGAAATGATGAATCAAAATGTGCTTCAACTTTAATTTCAGCTGTTAGACCGTACGTACCGTAATACATGGTGGATTTGATCAATAATATACTATCATATTTATTCTTTGAACTTCTTGTTTTTATTGTATCAAGTTGAAATATAGGGAACCTCACAACATTCTCAAAGAAATAAATTATAATACTGAATACAAAGTAATGGAAACTGTCAGAGATTAGGTACCGTAATCCGGGGGCAAATTGATCACCGGGATGAAGTTGATCAAAATGTCGTGCGTTTTCAGCTGCACCGTTGACAATTTTCGGTAATAGATATCATGAGAAATCTTGATAGGATTTTTCATCAATCATGTATATTTTACTGCATAAACTTATATTTTATTTATCTGGCGATCAATATTAACATTATCACCATGCAAACAAGCAATCATAGGTTTTTTATGTAAATTACTTTATTTGACAGGCTAAATCGAATAAACTTTACAGAGCCAAGCTACCATTTGCGTTATACATTATTGATATTTTAAATCTAAAATTAAAGGATTTGAACCGATTACTCGCGGTCTTCTCGAGGTTAAATTACAAAGGTTTTTAACGACTATTTTTATTAGCTTTAAAGCGATTTTTACTTAACTTATTGTCATAGAATTCAAATTATTTAAAACATCATGATATTTTTTTTTTAGAAATTCAAGAATTTCTGGAAATTTTTGAGAATGTTTATAGAAATTGTCAACCATTAGTTGATCAATATCCTTTTTGTAGAAATATATTGCGATATGTTTTACTCCTTTGCATTAAAGGGATCTTGGACAATATTTCGATATTTAAGTAAAACAGTGATCAATTTGCCCCGGTTTACGGTACTGTTGCTCTAGAGAAAAAAAAACACTGAAAATGACAAACGCAGCCTACTTATTGTGCATTTAGATGCATTATTTTCCGTATCCAGATATTTCGTAAGCTTGCAAAGGAGCTCAACTCGACCCTTTCCGATTTGGATGAAACTTTCAACATGTCTTCGGTATGGAAGATCATGATCTTTTCCACAAGTCAAGAGACCTTTTTGACTCAAGACTCTAAGACTTTTTCAAAAGAGCGTATGTGTTTTAACCATATGTATTTGTTCAATAAATTTCCTGAACATTGTATGGACGATTTTCTACAACCCTGTACATTGGAAGATATATTCCAAGCCTCCTCATCCATTACTCATCAGAATTTCTTGGGAATTATCAGAATTATTTTCAGAATTCCATTTGGATTCAGTCCAACATTTTGTTAGAATTATTCAAGGCTGTGGAGTCACCATGCTGTAACTGAGGATTCTGATCCTATCACAAATGCTTCCGTCTCTGATCCGGGTCCGTGGAGTTATACACGAGATTCCGTTGAAATTCTTTTCACGATTCCGATGAAAACTCAAATGAAATTTTTCTCAAAACTCAGTTGAAATTTCACTGCAATTCTCTTCACAACCGTGGAATTCTCCTAAAAAGTGCTGAGTAACAACCACTTTAGAATTCAGACCATATCTATTATTACTACTATTCGTTAGGGATTCTCCACAACATTCCCTGAGTCAGGCGTGCCCAACGTACGGCCGAGGCCCGCAACGAGCTTTGAAAAAGTCTTCGCATCCGCATCATCTTTGTTAGACGAAAACTTGAAATCCTGTTTACGGATTTCGGTAACAGTTTCTTAGAACAATATGCAACGAGTGCTGGATAGTAGCTAACAATTTTAAGCTTCTCATTAAATCACTAAGCTGATTATCTTAACCATATTGATCTGGTAGATCTCCTTTTGGTGGAGCGTTAATGGTATAAAATCTACCACCGAATTCCAGTCCTGACTACTACAAACTAGGGGAACAGGATTTTTCAGTAATCAAAGGAACACAGTTTATTCCTGGTTACTTTGTATGCCTTTGTATTACTAATAGTAAGAGTAACAGTAAGACACGGGTAGTGACCACCCTTGTTATGAGTTTTGATGTTGTATATTTTAAATCGAAAATATTGTTTATGTTTATAGAGTACATTCCTCACAAATCGAAGGCTGCTTACACAATTCAACACTATCATCGTGTAGGTGGAAGTTTCCCCTATCCGATGATGGTGTTGGTTTGCGTGGGTGGCCTTCGCTTTGTGAGTAAAGGGCTTTGGAAAGGTTTGTTTACAAATGCTGATAGGCCCTTTTCTATTGTTGATCCAGATATATGATCCCTTTCCCTATGTTCTTCTCCTTTTCCTTCCGTTCTACTTTTCTTTTCATAAACCGAGTAATGGCACTTCAGGTGTTTCGTTGTGAGATCCTTATTCTCGTGACCAGGCATGGTAAATCATTTGCATTCATTTCGTGCATTCATTTACATTCATTTGTCCCTAACTTTTTTCATCAACAGAATTCCACAAATTGATGTATGAAGTTTTTGTAGGTTTTGTTATTAGCTACAACTTTTGTCAACAACTCAAATCCGTATCTCTTCTTCATGACGAACCAGAGCGAACAGAAGCCACTTATGTTTTTCAGTGAATGTATTTTACATTCACTGAAAAACAGTAATAAGTTCTGCCCGCTATAGTTCTTGATGCATAAGAGATACAGATTTGAGTTATGGGCAAAAGTTGTAGTTAATAACAAAAACTACAAAAGCTCTTTTAATCATTTTGCGGAATGCTGTTGATGAGAAAAGTTAGAGGCAAATAAATGTAAATGAATGCATTAAATGAATGTAAATGATTTTCCATGCCTGCTCGTGACCATTTCGAAACTTAAGTGTACAAATAACAGCTTCCCCGAAACGTACCACATTGAAACTGTTACTTTGTGTAATTTAAAATTCGAAGTGGAAGTGCATGTATAGCCTACGTGGCGGCCATTTGTGGACTCTACAAGGAATCACCTTAACTAGAGCTTCCAACCTGGGATGTTTCGGGATGAAAAAGCAAGAGATTGTATCCAAGACTCGACCGTAGATTTGACGTAGGATTACGTGCTCGGTATCAATATTTGGCGACTATGTTAGGGAAACCACTTTTTGCAGGCAATCGGTGATAATTTTGATAACCATTTCCACAATTGGACATTTGTGTAATTTTCAATAGTAACCTAAATGAAAATTGATGAAGTATTGAATTTAGCAGCTTTGAAGAAAAATTACCAATCAATTGGCTTGTTTAGAATTAAAATCCATCCGCTATTGACAGAGTTATAAGTGGTCAACACCTGACCACTTTTGGTAACACGGTCGATTTTGTTTTTTTTTAATTGCATCCCCAATATGTTGCCAAGAGACGTAATCCTATGTCAAAATGTAAACTTTGCGGGAGACGATTTTATAACACTCGAAAGCAATTTTGTGAAATATGAAGTGAAACAAATCCTCGTTCTGCATGATGATTTTGTTTGATTGTATTTATTTATAAAGTCGCCGGGTAATACCAGCTAGCAAATTGTTTCTTTATGATAACTCCTTACTTGAAAACAGAAAACAGAAAAGTCAGCAATCAACTAAATTTTCAAAAGCAACCAAAAATATTCATTAGTACCGTCCCAATGACGCGTTCAACTGAATAAAATTGATAAATAGCAGATTCTGCTTCTGCTTTCATGTTCCATCAGATGTCACTGCTGTTGTTGGCGGTGGCATCGATCGGAAACTACACATAATTTGTTTTCTAATAACTGTTCA